GTAGTTTGAGTTCAAACGAACCAGGATAACCAACGTGTCTTTTAATTTAAGTTTTAAAAATCCTAATTCAAACCCTCCTTCTTTTTTTTCTTCCATTCTTCAACAAAGTCCAACAAGACTCTGTGCAACATAGTGTTCTGAAAGTATAGCTAGAATCTGAGATGATGATTTCTGCAAGTGTTCAGACTTTGATGGTAAACTAGGTCAAATACCTCATCAAACTCTGATAGCAAGCTAGAATCCGAGATGAATATTTCTACATCTCTAGTCCTACTCTGATGGTATATCAATCAGGGAAGTATTCCTTTATTCTTATTGTTTTGTGTTATTTCTCAAAAAAAAATTAAGTCTTGAACTCACAGGGAGATTTTAAATAAGATTAAACAAGTTCTGGGATCATAGAACTCAGGGGGATCTTCTTAGCTAACTCTGAATTGTTTTTATATGATTAAACCGGTATAAATTATTTATCAAAGTACATGGTTTTGTCATCATCAAAAAGAGGGAGATTGTAAGAATAAGATTTGGTTCTGCATCCGGCCGTGAGTTTTGATAATAACATTACATGGGTGATTAGATAAAAATTTAGTACCCTAATGTTTTGTTAAGTGTGTAGCTTTTTCTATCGGGTTCTGACTTTGAAGTATTGACGCATGAAATCATTAGATTTTGAACTCAACACACTGAAGAAAACAAGTTTGTGTTTCATAGCTTAGAATGCTTCTAAAATAATGGTTATGATATAACATTAGTTTAAAACCTTCTGACTGTGACTCTATTTTAAGAGCTTCTGATATATTCTCAAGCTCTGAATATTCCAAGTTCTCTTGCCCAAGTTCTAAATATTCTAAAGACAAGGTTATGTTGAACGAGTTCTGAAGATTGTGAAGACCAACCGTTCTTTAGACAAACTTCTGAAGACAAAGTTCTGTTGAACGAAGTTCTGAAGACTCTAAAAAAAAGGTTGTGAAGACTCTGAATACCAATTGCTAAATACATTAAAGACAAGGTTCAGGTTGAACAAGTTCTGAAGACTCTGATGACATGGTTCTAGAGACTTAGATTTGATCCTTCTACACATGCTTCAACCATTATACATCTAGAAGCCTCTGAAGATTAGAAGAGAAGATCAAAAGGGTTCACGTGAGTAATAGTACAAGGTACAACATCACCTCTCCTCCACTATGCTGCTTTTGTGGCTCAGGGATAATACTATTGTACGAGGTTGTCTACCACTCTCACTGACTATTGCAAGAAGGCAGCTGGAATTTTGGTATTTCTATTCTATCCTCCAATGGATTTCTTTTCATCTATAAAAAGAAGACTTAGAAGAATTGTAAATAAGAATAACTTTGGAGAAAATCATGCTTATTTAAGTTGTTTAAACGCTTCCAAAATAACTATGTAATTTTTATAAAGCAATGAGTTATTTCTCATTAACTTGCTAGCAAGGAAATTTTGTTCGTTAACTTGCTTAACACTTTTGTGTTATTATTTGTACTTAAATCTTGTGTAATATACTTTTGAGAAGCAATCTTGTAAACACAAAAACTTGTATTCAACAATGAGTTGATTGTTCCTTGAGTGACTAAGTGTTCGTCTGTATACTCAAGAAGTCATTGACAGTTTGTCTTTGAGGTTTTGTTCCTTGAGAGACTAGAGGTCTAGTTAGCATTCTCAAGAAGAGATTGATAGTTGGTCTTTGTGGTTTGCAACAGTGACAATTGGTCTTGTTGTGGTTCTGTAATCAGTTTGGTTATAAAGGATTAAGTCCTTATTGAGAAGGAGAAATCACCTTGGTGGTGGACTGGATTAACTTCGTTAACAGTGAACTAGGATAAAAATATTTGTGTTCATTTATTTTTATTCTTCTGTTAAGAGTTAGTGTTTGAGTTTTGAGAAATTTTATTTTGTGAAACCCAATTCAATCCCCCATCTTTCTTGTGTTTCTTACACCTTCAAGAAGAACGTATGAATTGCTTCAGATGGAAGAAAGTGAAAGCATAACTGGTTTCTTCATCAGGATTACGAAACTGGTGAGTCAAATCTAAGTATGTGGAGAAGCGTTGACATCAAGATCTGTTGTCGCAAAGATCTTGAGGTTATTGGCTCCAAAGTTAGACCACATGGTAGTAGCCATAGGAGAGTCGAAAGATTTTCCAACATTGACAAAGGAAGAGCTTATAAATCGTGAGATACTATATTATTGTAAAGTAGCGTCAATAATATTCCAGCTTGCAAAGTAAAGAGTAGAGGGTTTTCTCTGCAGAATTCATAACTCTTCTTCTTCCTTTTGTAAACCCTAATTCGCCTTTCTTTCCCATTCATCTTTTCTTTTATTCTTCCATAATCATTGTGCAACAAAATCATCTTGCAATCAAGATCAATTGATTCACTCGAGTGAAGAACAAGAGAGAATTCAATTGATTGATTGATTCTTATTCATCAAGATTTCAGAATTCTTCGTAGATTTTGACGTAATTCCAACATTTTTTTAACAACATGTTGCCTTTGGTTTATATATATAGAATCATATATGTATTATTAATAAAACATTTACCTTATGTGTAAAGGGTGTTTTGGTAAAGTTGATATTATTATTTTTTGTAATGTCCACGATTCATCAAACAAAGCACAGGACAAATAGTTGTCTTGTAACTCAAGGGCTTGTGATGTGTTCTCATTGTCATGTACTTTAATGTGAATCAAACGTACCCCAAATCTCACTCTTCAATTGAGCTTCCTTGTCCCAAACCTATTTGATATTTGGATATTCCTCCCTCTAAATCTTTACTTGTTTGAAGGATGATGTACAATAAGGTACTTATTGATGATATGCTTAAAGCTCGAGGGTACACTCTAGCCTCCTTATGCAATTTGTACATAAACATTTGACCGTTGGCTTAATGCAAATATTAATCTTAACTTTTAGTTTACCTGTTTAAACGATATTTGGATCTTTTACAATAGGGTTTGCTCCTCCCAATAATCATTTGCCTTAAAACCTGTATTTATCCACAAAAAGAAACTCTTTATTTGGTTTATCTCTCAAATAAAACTTTAGGTAAATTTATCATATAAATCCAGATTTAAAGATGTAATAAAACTAGTTGAAAATTGTAAAAAAAATAAACTTTTTCTTTCAAAACAAGCACACCATCCCAATACAAAACTAAATAATTCTTTGTAAAAAATAAATCTATATTACAATAATAATATAACAAATTTCAAGATTTATGTGAAAAAATAAATATTAAAATCATCAAATTAAATTCAACTATTTAAAATTATTTGACTTAAATGCACTTTTAATTTTTTAATCTTTTAACCCTTTTAAAAAAACTAGTTTAAATTTTAATGTTGTTCAAATAATGGATACTAATGAGAAAGAGAAAACAACAGCAGGTAAGTATTTGAACAATCATTCTACTAGAAGTGAAAATCTTTTATAGAGGTGATCTTTATACAGAAGGAAGCTTAATTGTTAAATACCAATCGAGAAGTATACAAATTGTTTAATGTAAAGAGAAAAAAAATTTTATTCATGAATTTCATTCATGTCTCCCTAATTTTTGTTTTATTTATTTTAACTTATTTAATATAAACGTTAAATTAAATAAATACAAAAAATAATCAAAAAGGGGGGTGTAGCTCATATGGTAGAGCGCTTGCTTCGCATGCGAGAGGCACGGGGTTCGATTCCCCGCACCTCCATTCAATATTTTAATAGACTATAAATCAGATTTAGAGTCTAGTTTGATATGTTTGAGTGGGTTCGATTCCCCGCACTTCCATTCAATATTTTGATAAATAAATAGTTTAAAATAGACTATAAATCAGATGTAGAGTCTAGTTCGATATGTTTGAGTCATACAATGCATATTTTAAAATTTAAAAAATAATATATATTTTTTATCAAAATTTACTTATTATTTATTGGAACGTTTCATTCAATATATAAATTTAATAAATATTACAAATAACAAATATTATAATATAAAACTACAATGTTTGATCAAATATATATTTATATTTTATAAAAAAGTATTTTTCCCAAATTAATTGGTATATACTATGTATATCCAATTTTTAAGGAATTCCCCTAAAAATTCAAAGATAGCTTAATTACAAAAAATATATAAAGAAAAACTCATTAATTAAATTTTAATTAATTGTTTTAGTAAATTATAATATATAAATAAATATTAGAAATAATTATCTTTATGTGAAAAATACTATCTTTTTTCCAAAATATATTTGTATTATATATATTTTTATTCTACTGAAATTTCAGAAATTACAAATATTTTTATTACAAATTAGTCATATATAAATAAATATTACAAATAATTAATATTTATTATTATGATAGGAATATAACCATTTGTCAACTATATATTTTATCTCATAAAAAAAGTAATTTATATTATAAGCAAATTTTAAAATAAAAAACAGTATACAGAAAAATACTATCTTTTGTCAAATATCTATTTGTATTTTATAAATATTTTTTACCAATAATCAGTAGATATATACTATATTTACCCATTCAAGAATCTATATATAACTTTTATGGACTTTTCTTTAAAAATACAAAGATAAATAGTTATTAAAAATGCTTAAAGATAAACTCAATAATTAGATTTTAATCAAACATTTTAGTAAATCATAATATATTAAATAATAAATATTTATATTATAAAAATACTAACTTTTATCAAATAGATAGTTTTTTTTTTTATAGAAAACATATCTGATATTGTACATAAATATTAGAAATAACAAATTTATCATTTAAAAAATTATGTGTGAGAGATATAAAGAAAGATTAAAATCATATGTTAAGAGGTTATATCACACTAATATGTGTTAATTGAATTAAATAAATGTAAATATATATATAGAATTTATTTGATCTTTATAAAGGTCTAAAATCTTATGAGGGCTTCTCAAAAGAAAGAGAAAGCAAAGGGATAAGAAGTGTAGAATTTTCTCCAACTATGGAGAATAATGGTCGAGTATGCACCATTTGTAATGGGAAGGCTTTGGGAGGCCACATAAAGTCTCACTATTCCAAATTACCAATCACTCCAAAACCTCCATTACACAATCTTAGAACTCTGAAAAGAAACAAACCTGTGTTTGAGTTTTATCCAAAAAACCCAACTGGAAAAAGATCGAAACGCATTCGTAGACAATTCAACGTGGCTAGAGAAAAAGAAAAGACTACCAAATTTAGTGTGGCGGAAGAAAGAAAAGAGAATGCACAATTTAATGTGGCTCAAGAAAATGAAGAGAGTACGCGATTTCAATTAGTGTATCATAATGTCGATATGGAAGCTGCTAAAACACTCGTTATTATTTGTGAAAATGAATGGCAACAAATCGAGGAGAAATACTATCAAAACAAGGCAAAATTTTGTGAAAATGAATGGCAACAAATCGAGGAGAAATACTATCAAAACAAGGCAAAATTTTGTGAAAATGGCACCATTAAATTTAAGTGTGATATTTGTCATGAACTATTTCAATCTTATCAAGATATTGTTGGACATGATAAAAAGCATAAATGTAAATGCAGAAGTACATAAATGTATGTATTGCTTCGAAATCTTTGAATCTGATAAATTACTTGAGGAACACGTGAAGGTAAACCTAACTTAGTCTTCTTATTCTAAGCCATAAAAACATGGTTTTAAATTGCAGTTGTGATAGTTGGTTGAGATTGTAATGTCATTGCATTTTCTTTGTTTGAATAATGTTAAATTTTTGGGGTTGTTTTATTTTGATTATTATGTAAGAACTCCGGTTGGTAATTTTATCTAATTTCCATGTTACTTATTGTTTTTGGCTACAACAAATTCCTAATGAAATAGACATCTCAATTTTAGTTCTAAATTTATAAAAATGATAACGCAGTTACAAGATGTAATCAATCTTTGTCATTGATTTGATATCAAATGGTACAAATTACACTCTCATAAAATTTAATATTAACACGTGACAATGTCAGCTATTAAAGATGATGCTGACATGGTTTTCTCTATTAAGGTTCAATAGAGTTTTGATATATATATATATATATATATATATATATATATATATATATATATATATATATATATATATATATATATATATATATATATATATATATATATATATATATATATATATATATATATATATATATATATATATATATATATATATATATATATATATATATATATATATATATATATATATATAATCTGTCTCTTTATCACCTCCACAAACTTCGACGCCTCTCTAATGTCATTGCTTTGTTTGTAGTTGTACTTCTCTACCGCAAACTTTCCAAGCTCCTGCACCTCCATGTTTGTCCTCACGTCAACAATCTCCTTCTTTGCGCCTCCTATCTTGAGTTGTGGTGGCTTTGAACTATAGATTATTGATGCTTCTTTGCATGTCCACGTTTGATGCATGACACTTGATGCATTTCATTTGATTTTTCTGTTAGAGAAACACACGTGGCATTCATAAGCTTCACAGTGTTGGAAATCCACCAAAGTCTATGATGAATTTCTACCACAATGACAATTAGTTATGAGAAAAACAAAGAAAAGAAGACAAGACAATTATTTCTGCAGAGTTTCTCTCTGCCCACAAACTGTGGAAAACTTTCTTATTCACTTTGCAACTGCAAAATACTGTGAATTACTTGCTTGACTTGCTTACAAAAAATAGGGGTTACTCCCTCTATTTATAACTGACCTTACACCCAAAGCCCAAAGCCCAAAATATCTTTTTGTTACTAAATCAAATCAAATCTATTCTAGACTTAAATCAAATCTATTTAAATCTAAAACAAATCAAATCTCCTTTGACACTATGAATTACAATTTAACACACCACCTAATTTATTGTGTCTAAACTGTCTATGTTCATCATGGCTCTTAGCTTTCTGAATACTTCGACTTGCACTCCCTTCGTCATGATGTCTGCAATCTGATTCTCAGTTCTGCAATGTTCCAAATTCATCTTCCCATCTGCTACCTGCTCTCGAAGATAATAGAATCTCATTTCGATATGCTTACTTCGACCATGTGCTATTGGATTCTTCGCCAGATTAATAGCTGACATGCTGTCTATCTTCATGGTAATTGCTCCATGATTTTTCCCTGTTATCTCTTCGACCAAGCTCATCATCCAAGTTGCTTGACATGCACAAAGAGAAGCATCTATGTATTCTGCTTCACATGATGATAATGTCACTACTGGTTCCTTTCTTGAATTCCAAGCAATTGGTGCACCACCTAGCATAAACACATATCCTGCTGTTGACTTTCGATCTTCAGCATCACTACACCAACTCGAATCAGTGTATCCCACTAACTTGCATTCTTTTCCTTTATCAACTGCAGGAAACAAAATTCCATAATCGAAAGTTCCTTTGAGATACCTTAGTATCCTCTTCACTGCTGCTAGATGTGACACCTTTGGCTTCTGCATGAATCTACTTACCATACCTACACTGTATGCTAAGTCAGGACTTATATGACAAAGGTATCTCAATGATCCAATAAGTCTTCTGTATTGGGTTGGATCAACATCATCTTCATCTGCATCTTTCGACAGTTGCAGTCTTGGTTCTGCAGGTGTCGAAGTTGAGTTGCATTCTTCCATCTCAAACCTCTTGAGAATTTCTCCTGCATATCTTCTTTGATGCATCATCAAACCTCTACTGTTCTTGTAGAATTCGATACCAAGGAAGTATGAAATCTCACCCAAATCAGACATTTTGAATTCCTTGCTGAGATCACCTTTGAAGTCTTCGATCTCACTCTTACAGCTACCTGTTATCAACAAATCATCTACATAGAGACATAGTATAAGCAATTTACTCTTGCTTCTTCTTACATATACTCCATGTTCAGTTATGCACTTCACAAATTTCTTCTCCCTTAGAAAACTATTAATTTTCTTATTCCAAGCCCTTGGAGCTTGTTTCAATCCATACAGGGCTTTATGTAACCTGTACACCTTTCTTTCTTCGTCATGTTTCACAAACCCGACTGATTGTTTAACATAGACTTCTTCATCTAAGGGTCCATTTAGGAATGCACACTTCACGTCCATCTGACATATGTGCCAACTGTTTATTTTTGCTAGACCAACAACCAACCTGATTGTTTCGATCCTAACAACAGGTGCAAAAACTTCGTCGAAGTCTATTCCTTCTTTCTGTAGAAATCCTTTCGCCACAAGTCTTGCTTTGTGTCGAGTTACTTCACCTTTCGAATTCGTTTTCACTTTGTATACCCACTTGACATCAATTGCCTTCTTGCCTTGAGGCAATTCGACAAGTGACCAAGTGTTGTTGTCTTCGATAGACTTTACTTCTTCGTTCATTGCTTTCACCCACTTCGAATCTTTTAATGCTTCAGTTGCATTAACAAGTTCGACATCTGCATAGAAAGCATAATGTACCAGCTCACCTTCATTATCTATTACATCATCTGATGTAATCACACAATCTTGCAATCTTGCAGGCATGCGTCTTGTTCTTTGAGGTCTGCTTGTACTTGGTATATCTGCTGGTTCCTCTTGTCGAACTTCTCTTTCGACTTGAGTTTCTGGCTCTTCGAATAGGATTCCCACTGAATCTTTCTTGACATTTGCAGTCCAATCCCATTCTTTAAACTCATCTATGATCACGTCCCTGCTGATCACAATCTTCTTGTTCTCTGAATCGAACAACTTGTATCCTCCTGTCGAATGATATCCAACTAGGATCATTTGACTTGACTTGTCATTAAGTTTTCTTCTCAACTGATCTGACACATGTCTATGTGCAATAGATCCAAATACCTTCAGATGACTCAAGCTAGGCTTCACACCAGACCAACATTCTTCTGGAGTAATTCCTTCTAGCTTCTTTGTAGGACATCTGTTCAAAATGTATGTTGCAGTCGAAACAGCTTCACCCCAGAACTCTTTAGGTAAATTCTTGCCTTTCAACATACTTCTCACCATATTCATGATGGTTCGATTTTTCCTTTCTGCAATTTCATTTTGTTGTGAAGTATAGGGTGGCACCACCTCATGCACAATCCCTTCCTTTTCACATAATCTGTCGAAGTCTTTCGACACATATTCTCCTCCACCATCAGTTCTCAAAACTTTGAGCTTTCGACCACTTTGTCTTTCGACCATAGACTTAAACCTGGTAAATACTTCGATCACTTCACTTTTCTTCTTGATCAGGTAAGTCCATAACTTTCGACTGAAATCATCTATGAATGTAACAAAGTATTTGTTACCTCCCATCGAATCCACCTGGATTGGTCCACATATATCAGAGTATATGACTTCAAGACTAGCCTTCGATCCGCTTCCTGCATCCTTGCTGAAGCTATTCTTGTGTTGCTTCGCCTGCACACATTCCTCACATACCTCGTTTGAAATGTCAATTTCTGGCAATTCTGAAACCATATTTCTTCTCTTCAAATCTCTGATGTCTCTGAAGTTGAGATGACCTAGTCTATAATGCCATATCCATTCATCTCTGCTAGCTGCAGTCGAAAGGCACTTGTGCTCCATCACATTTAGTTCAATCTTGAAGGTTCGATTCTGAGACATAGGAGCCTTCAAGATTAATCTCCCATTTGCATCAACGAATCTCATCAACTTATCTTCGATTGACACTTTATAATTCTTTTCGACCAACTGCCCTATACTGAGCAAATTGCTCTTCATGCCTGGTATGTACAACATATTGGAGATTACTGACCTTTTGTCATCTTTCCTCATAATCATAACATCACCAATACCTTCAGCTGCCAGGGTATTGTCATTTGCAAATTTTACCATATTTTTCTTTGAGGGCTTTATATTGACAAACCAGTCTTTCCTTCCAGACATATGTGATGAACATCCTGAATCCAAGTACCATTGGTCTTTGAATCTATCTTCATCTCTTGTTGTGACCATCAGCATCATCTCTTCTTCTTCATGTTTTACAAGCTTTGCATCACTTTCTTGATTCTTTCATTTTTCTGGACAATCACTCGAATAGTGACCATACTTCTGACAATTGTAACATTGAATGTGACTCTTATCAGGTTTTCGACCACCACCTCTTCCTCTGTTTGCAGCACCACCTCTTTGGTTGCCTTGGTGTGGTCTTCTTTGATTCGACACGTCTCCTTCGATTTGGTTTCCTCTACCATTCGATTTGTTGTAGCCACCTCTACTTCTGTCGAAATACTTTCCTTTGCCTTTGGTCTCTTTTTCTGAATGTGCCTGTAAGGCCACATCACTCTTCGATTTTCCTGCAGCTCTTTCGTTCATTCTTTGTTCATGAGATTCGAGCGTCCCTTGAAGCTCTTCCTTTGTCAATTTCGACAAGTCTTTCCCCTCTTCGATTGCCACCACTATATGGTCGAACTTAGGAGCTAAAGATCTCAAGATCTTCGAAACAACAGCTCTTGTTGTTAATGTTTCTCCACATGCCTTGATTTGATTCACTAGTTTTGTAACTCTAGTGAAGAAATCAGATATGTTTTCACTGTCTTCCATCTGAAGCAGTTCATAGGTCCTTTTGTGA